AGTTCCATGTCCATAGATTCGTTTTGCCTGTTACTTCACATAAACAGACTCACATAGCCTGTTTCTTCCCTTTCTTTTAGTCACTAAAACAACAATAACAATGTTGTTAGATATATCTAACAATATTAGATGTTAGACAAATGTAATAATAACAATATATAGGCATAACTTAATTCCTTTTTTCTCTTTCTTTCTTTCTTTTTTTTTTTTTGAGATGGAGTCTCACTCTGTCACCCAGGCTGGAGTGCAGTGTGGTGTGATCTGGGTTCACAGCAACCTCCACCTCTTAGGTTCAAGCTATTCTCCCGCCTCAGCCTCCTGAGTAACGGATTACAGGTGTGCGCCACCATGCCAGGCTAATTTTTTGTATTTTCAGTGGAGCTGGGGTTCACCATGTCGCCCTCCTAAAGTGCTGGGATTACAGGCGTGAGCCACCACACCCAGCCCTAATTCCTTCTTTTTTTTCAGTTAACATCTCAAATTTTTGCTATATAATTTCATAATAGCAAAAAAGCTTCTTCATGGGGTAGGAGAGCATGGCTTTTGTGAAGAAGTAAACAAGGGGCAATTTGCATGATTGTTATTGACTTCTTTACACATTCTGGCATAACGTTAAAAAAATATACATATATATATATAAAACATTTCATGATAATGAGGAAAAAAAGCTTCTTCCTGGGGTAGGAGAGCATGGCTTTTGTGCAGAAGTAAACAAGTGAGATTCAGAATGAGCCTGATGAGGGAGCTTTGGTTGTCCGAAGGCTGAGAACATCCTTCCCTGGCAGGCTTTTTCTGGTGGCAGGAGATTTCTTATAGTATCTCAGGATCAGAGACCCCTTGAGCCACTTCCTGTCTGCATTCTTTTTTATCTCTTTGAACATGGAACTATTTGACCAAAGAATTCCTTCTGCCTCAAATTCTTCCTCTTGGATCTTAGCAAAGAGAAAACATTGTCTAAAGCGAGAGTTAACTGTACTTTGAAAGTCATGAAACACACACACACACAGAGACATACGATTAAAAACCCTTGATCACACATTTGGGTTTGAGTGATACAAGTAAGGCAAATGATAATAGAGCAAAATATACCATTATTGATAAAACCTACACACCATGAGTATAGGTCTCTGAGTATCATCTGACCACAGATAAGGGGCAACTCCTTGTTTTGTTTCCTTGATGGCTTCACAATACAGATGGATACATACATGGAAAAGGTATGAGTGTCAGAGAGGCATAAATGCAGAGAAAGTTGGATCCTGAAATAATATTTGCAGAAATACTTAAAACATGAAAAAGAGAAAACTTAGCAATTTCACAGCACAATGCAAGGTCTAACTTCATTGGTTAAATAGTCCCATATGTGGTAATCTACAAAGCTGGGAGACTTGGACTGGGACAGCCAGGGCTCTGTGCAGAATGGATGGGGAGTGAGCAACTTGTGCAACCTCGTTGAGTTCATTCCTGCCTCTCTAAGTGGGGTAATAATGACAGTGTCCACCTCACAGGGCTGGTGGGAGAGGTGACGGAAGTGAGGTGTGGTCAGGCTATTTGTAAACCATCCATGCTGTCCATGTGGCAATAGTCTCTTGTCTCTTTCAGAGTTGGAATAAATGCTCTGGAGGGGATGTGGGATCCAGACTCTTTATCCTATGGTCATTGACTTTTTGGAGGACTAAAGAGCAAAGTGTTGTCTTTTTCCTCACCCTGTGACTTCCTCTTTGGGGAAAAGTCGGCATTTTGATAGGAAATCAGATGTAGGGAAGCAGAAAACCTGTTAGAGTCAGAAAGACCTGGGTTGGAATCCAGACTTCCTCATTTACTACCTGCGTGTGTGACCTTGGATGAATGTCTTAACATCTTAGAGCCTCCGTTTTCTCATATGGAAAATGGGAATAGACTTCAATGGATTCAATGGATTTCTGGGAGGACTGGATGAAATAAATCCTTGTAATGGGAGCTCAGCACCGTAGATGGGACTGGTGCTATCACTGATAGAAATGAATTACCTCTCATGTGAGATACCCTGGCAGCAGATGAGAAATGAAACAGTCTATCTTGCTTTCGGCACACCCGGATCGGAACAGGGCAGAAATAAGGAATGCTGGTGCTAACACAGAATAAAGTTCTCCATTACACCGGGCGGGGAAGAGATGGATCACCTGGATGCAGAAAATGCTGCAGATGGGCCAGATGTGCCCAAGCCCATCTGGGGAAGACCCACATCCACATGGTTGGCACTGCAATCCACTCCTCATCTGGAAGGCCTGCCATTCTGTACGTGTTCAGGCGCCTCCCAGTGCCGCCAGGGCCAGAGACTGCAGCCATTGGGGTGAGGAGAGTGGGTTGTTTTATTTTTAGCAACAAGAAGGCATTCTCCTCCCTCTTCTGATCTCAGCCCCTCTACCCACTCCCAGCTCATCCCAGCAGACGCCTGGGAGCCCCTTCAGGGACAGAGCGGGGAGGTACAGTCTCTACTTCTCCACACCCACAACAACCTTTCCCAAGGCTGGGAACTGGACCAGATCCCAAGTGGGCTCTGGGCCTCACTGAACCTCAAGTTTTGCCAGAAGTGGGGAGCCTAAACTGCCTGTTCCAGGTTTTAGCCAAGTTTCTTTGTTTTGTTCTACAAGATGTTCACCAGGTAACCGTTTGGGGGGGGGGTTGCTTTTGAGAAATAAACAGCCCATGGCATCCTGACAGTCTCCTCTCCCTCTTGCCCCTTCGCTGAGCCTACCCTCCCCACCTCCCCACCCCAATTTCCTTCCCCAACTCCCAAGTCTCTGAGTTAGCAGCCTCCTGTTTATTAAGCTGTAAAGTTAGGATGGTTCTCATTTCTGATCTTTTCGTTGGCTACACCTGACTTCGTCTCTTTTTTGCTTTTTCCCCCCACCTCCCTAAACTAAATCACTTGCGCGGTTCTTGCCTTTTAACGGAGGGATAACGTCAGGACATCTGAAATTCCGACTTTATTTTCCTCCAGCACACCTGGCCCCTGCCCTCCAACGGGAACTCCCGTCTGCTTGCTTATTTTAGCTCTCAATTGGTATTAAAAGCAGACTGTAGTTGGGACCATCTGATCTGTAAACGATGCAAGCCCCGACAGCTTTTCCTAGTCCGGGGTCGGGGCGGGCGGCCGCGAGCTGGAGCAGAGGACCTGCGGGAGCCCACGCAGCGCCTCCGCTCTGCCAGGCCCGCCCGCATCGTGCACCTAGGCTGGAGCCCCGCAGTTTGTCGTCTGCAGCCCGGAACCCAAGGTGAAAGGCTTCCGCTGAGCTCCCTGACGCCTCAGCGGAGCATATGCTGCACTCCTCACATTCATTTTTAATTTATGACATCAGTTTAGGGATCACTAGAGCCTCCAAACGGCTTCTCTCAAAACCAAAACAACCACCATAACACAAGCGAGGACAGGAGACGGCCACGGAGTCCAGAACATCGGCTCCTCTGTCCCCGGGGAATAAACATTTGGAAAATCACTTTCCAATGGGGACCTGCTGTCCCTCACGGCAGCTACCTTCCCCCCAGCCTTGTCCTGGAGCTGACAGTGGATCCCAGGGTATTTTGCTATAAAGACATAGCTGGTCTCAAAGTGGCTTCGATTAGGACTTTATAAAGTTACATTAAAATGATCAAATGCGTACTTGCAGGAAGATTAAAGGCTCTCCCAAATACATTTACACACACACACACACATCTAGAATTGTATACAACATAAAACATTATGTTAGATAAGTAGTATAACAATATTATATAGGAACTGGATGTTAAATATTATGATATGAAACCACATCATACATATTATATGTTGAACAGTATATAATACAAACGGACCATCTATGTTATAGATGGTATATACGAGACAACATGTCCTCTGAAATAGCCCAGGTGCCGATCTCCTTGTCGCCAAGCACCAACTCAGTACAAGGCGCTGGAAGGGAAGGAGCGAAGCGCATCAGGGTCTCCCCATAGTGATGCAGTCACCCCAGCCCTCACCCTATCCCAGTTCCCCACACGCCCAAGTGTCTTTGGGGTGGATGAAAAGATCTCAAACGACCAGCTCCTCATTGGGATAAAGTAGTGAAAAGATGATCTCTGATAGAGGTCAAACTCCAATTGGGAGGAGGGCGCAAATTCTGTAAATGACACCCGAGGGCACACTCACCAGGTTCACTGCAAGCCCTGAGCGTTTTGCGTTTGGTGCCCCAAGTGTAAATCTAAGTATTCTGTCTCCGACACGTAAAACAACTTAAAGTGCCATTTTCCAACGGAGGCATTTAGAAGCAATTTGAAAATTGGAACGAATCTTTATATGCAAGACTGGAACGTTCCAGAGGCCCTTTAAAGCTGCGGTTAGCAAGGCAGTTAGGGAACTCAATGATGGGCTGCAAGGAGACGATTGAACGCACAGCCAAATGCACAGTTAGAAATTTGATATTAAACACGCTCTCGCAAGTAATGCAGTTTAATGATAATTGCTGAGTGTTTACTCTTCACTGGAAGGGGAAATAGAAGAAACATTTTGACAGAAAAGTTACCCTAAAGAGTTACACTGTTTACAAGGGGAAAATATCTCAGTGGCCGCTGCTGGCTTACTAGCAACCCAAAACAGTGTGTGGGGGCATTAGTTTTCCTCCAGAGCTACCGAGAAGGGGAAACCCAACATCAAGTGTCTGGCAGATGGGAGTGTGTGTTAAGTGAGGGCTGTTTTCGTTGGGAACGCACAGCACAGCTCCCTTCCTCCGAGCCACCTCCAGACCCCTCGGCCCTCCCACGACCCCCAGTTCCCGGGTCCGAGGTTCTGGGCCAGCGGCGGCCAGCGCGCCGCGCGAGCAGCTTTTATTCGCAGTCTCTTTAACTCGCCCTTTCCGGTTCTCTTCCCTTCCAGCGCCCTGCAGCGGAGTGTTAGACAAGCCCTGTTGTCTGTGGGCTCTCACCTCAGAGTCAATATTATCTCAGATGGGCACAATAGACTGGAATGAAAAGCTAATATTGAATCAATGCTGTCCCTGTCCGCGCCGCCGCGATGCCACCCTTTGTTGCGCACGCCGCCCCCGGCAAGCTGCTGGCGGCCGGGGCTAAGCGGAGGGCGGCGGCGGTCGGGCCTCTCCCGGTCCCCGCCAGGGGTGGGAGGACACTTCGGACCCAGCGTAGAGGAGGCCTCCGAGGCCCAAGCCGGCTTCGGCTGCTGCGCGTCCCCAGAGGCTCCCTCGGGCCTCACTCGCGGCCTCTCCTCCAGACGCCAGGGGCCTGCCACAAAGCCGAGGGCTCCGCATGGCCGTGGGAGAAGCCGGGTGCACGGAGCCTCCCCGCGCCCAGACGCCGAGGGGATGCAAACAGGAGAGCCAGGCCTGGTATGGCCAACCTCCAGGCCCGAGGGGCCCCAGAATATGCGTGTGGCCGGGGGAGGGGGTAGCTGTAGGGGCCAGAACCAGAGGATTCCTTCGCTCTCCCCTGGGGGCCGGGCCCCAGGAGTTGCAGCAGAGCCTGTCTGTAATTAGGGCCTCCTGGTCCGGCAAAGCTGCGGTACTCCTAGAGAGAGTTGGGGTCTTCGAAGGGCATGCGATGGGGTCGTGGTCGCATCAGTGGTCGTGGTCAGACCCTTGTGAGCCCCTTCGGAAGCTCCTAGTCCCTGTCCATTCTTCTGTCCCCCAGCTCTCTCCGCGCAGGCCGGGCAGAGCCGGGGAAGCAGAAGATGCTAGACAAGGGGTCTTGGGGCCGCCTCGCTGGCTGCGGTTGGAAGCACCAGTTTTCCTGCTCGCTGGCGCAGGCGCTGCTCTGTGGCCACCAGCAGAGGTTTCCCGGCCGCTGTGAGTCGCTCACGCGAACGACGTGGGGATACAGGGCACACGGAGTCTCAGCCGCCGCCACGCAGCGCCTGCCCTGCCCGCGCTTCCGTTCACTGGCAGCTGCGAGGCCACTAACCACCCTCCTCCCTCCAGTCCTAAACTCGGGGCTGGAGTCCGCAGGAGCTAAACCAGGAACAAAAAAAAGGGCAGGGCCTGAGGCCCGGAAGAGCGGCCTGGAGGACAACGGTGACCGGGTGCATAAGAGGCAAGAGCCAGAGTGACATTAAGTGGGGCCGCCAGGGCCAACCTTGCTGCTTGCACCCCAGCCCACCTGCAGGGCACTCTTCCCTGCCTTTTCCCCTTGGTTTGAGTGCGAGAGGCTGATTCCTGTGGGCGGGGAGGAGAGGGTGGTCTTCCTAGGGCTCCTAGTGAAGTGAGCACTGCACCCATGGCTAGGAGGTGGGGGTGCCCCGGGTGACTTTTGTAACTTCCCTAAGCCTCAGTTTTCTCATCTGTAAAGTGGGTATCATGACTGTTTCCCTAACTCACCACACCAGATTGTGATGTTCACTGAGATCATGGGCTTGAGCACACATACTTAAACAAAAATGCTAAAACTCGATACAGGTGAGAGGAATTGTTAGCCTTCTTGTAAGTCTTGCCCCAATCTTCCCCACGTTTCAAGGAGGGCCGCAGAGTCCAAAAGAAGAAACCTACAGTTTCCTTTTTTTCCTCAGATGGCAGGATTTCCTCTTCAAGTCCAAGCCCAGCCCCCACATCCAGAAAATGGGGAAATACTAAAGGAAGAGACGATTAAGTCCCTGAGAGAGGGGCTCCTGGGACGCCAGCGTTTCAGAAGTAGCATAGGCTCCTAGATGGACGCTGACAAACCCAAGGAGCGCCTTACATTGTCGGGCAAGGACCAGACTCCAAGTTAAAAGACCGGCCGGGCCATCAGTGGCAGAGAGCAGAGCCTCAAACACGAAAAGCCAGAAAGTGCTGCAGAGGCGTGGAAGGTGCGCCCCGCTTCCGCTCCCCATGCTGGTCCTCTGGGAGCCCAGGAGCCCGTGCACGCTCTGGTGGGCTCATAGTTTGTAGCTTTGGAGGCGATGGGAAGGATTTGCCACGCTCCCACCCACCCCCTATCCCGAGAGAGTGCAAGGGAGATGCAACTGTCTTTACCCCTATCCCCGGCAGGCGCCCCGAACTAGAGTGTACTTGTTTCCAGCTCCTGCACCACCGTCTGTGTGTACGTCTGTCGGTCCCCCTCAGTTCTTGCTTGGTCCTAGGCTTTCATTTGAAGGCAGCTGAGGGAGAAAGCAACTGGCTCTGTTTCCTCGCTTTCAATAATGAATCGAGACAGCGTGTGTGTGGTGAGGGAGTGACGAGTTTCAACGTGATGAAGGAGATAAAACCCGACGGCGGGGTCCTGCCGGTGGCTTCATGCGTCACTGAAACGTTGGGTCTCAAAACGGATAGATCTCCGGAGACGCAGACGTTCGCGCGGATGTCCAGAGGAGGACAGCGCCCCTGCAGCCACCCGCGGAGGCCAGGGCCAGGGTCAAGACCCTGCCGCAAGGGCTCGGAGCTCCAAACAGTTATGCTGAGGGCGCCGCTCCCAGGCCGCCTTCCTATGACACGGGTTTCCAGTGAAGCCCAAGCGTATTCCACGGCCTCACATCACCAGAGGAGCCAGGCTGCCCCGGGACGGATGGGGTACACGCGCTCCGAGAGGAATGGGAGAGTCATCAGAACCCCGTCGCGGCGGCCCAACGTGCGCTGCTAGGAGTGTGTAGTAATTAATCGCCACCCCTGCCAAAACCAAGGACCCCCTGTGTCGGGCGTCCTCCGCCTGCCGCGAGGGGGCGCGAATATGAGAGAGTCGCACCCCGGGACCCCAGCTCTTCCGACTCCACCCCAGGCGGGGTCCGCGCAGGCCGTCCCAGGCCTGTTCTCTGAACCACCAGGGTCAGGCCGGGAGATATGGGACCTCAGGCATGGAATTGTGGCTGCACAGGTGATCACGGCTTCCTAGTCCTTCTTAGAGCAGAACCTGTCCCATCCCAGCCCCTCTCTGCGCTCCCTTCGGAAGGAAGCCGGACTCCTACTGGAGCTGGAATTCCTCTCAAGCCAAGAGCTGGAGCTGAGGGAGGCAGGAGGGACTCACTTCCAAGCCGCCCGGGCTCCTCTGTAGCCAGTGAGCCTCCTTTGACCCCTCCGCTGGCCTGGATGACGGCCTAGGCGAGACCTTGGCAATGCGGCGCAACCCCAGCACTCCCCCGCCCTCGGGCTCGGGGGCTCGGTGGGTATCGCGCCCGCGCCCAGCCCTCGCCACTAGGCGCCGCTGCGCGCACGTCAATCGGGGCCCCGGGCCGCTGCGCCCGCCTGGCGAGAGGCCTCTAGGGAAGACGCCAGAAAGGGATTTGTCGTAATAATTTAAAAAAAAATGTTTTTAGGGCATTAATTATACTTTTCGTTTTCTCACCGCCACCCTACGCGTTCGGAGAGGCCGGCGTGACTGGGGATCTCAGTGGGTTGGAGGAATTCTTAACGCCCCCCAGGCCTTTCCAACTTGGGACACCATTAGTGCGCCTTGGACTGGGAAAGGGCTCGCCCTTCACGGGCGTCGGTGAGATCCACGGCCCGCCGCGGGAGCACAGGACGGGCTCAGCGTGCTGGCTCAACGTGAGGACCCTAACCTTGGCGATCAGGGACCAAGACTTGGCAGAGTGCAGTGGGTAGGTTCCACGGCACAAGGCCATGACCTAGCAATAACTAAAATGTGATGAACGCTAACAGTGTGCTAAATATTAGCTCACTCACTCCTCTCAACAACCGTTAACACATTGCTATTTCCTTTTGGCAGATGAGTCAACCATGGCTCAAGAAGGTGAAAGTCACATAGGTGGCGACCCCAGACAGCTCCCACACACCTATTCTCAGTTGCAGGAGGCCATGCACCCACCCCAGGTACCTCACAGGCCTAGCACGGAGCACAGCGATGGAGAAGCACTGCCCTTTGCTCCTTTGAAGTCCCTAGTTCATTATGTGCCAGACACTGTCTAAGCACTTAGCTTTGTTTATGTCATTGAACAAACCCAAAGCAAAGGTACTATTATTTATTCCCATTTCAGAGAAGAGGAAACAGAGGCACAGAGAAGTTAGGTAACTTACCCAAGGTCACACACTTAAGCTGTAAATGCAAGTCTCTCATCTTGGGGGATGGGGGCAGGTGTATTAAAGTATAATTACATATAGTAAAACTCACCCTTTGTAATGTACGGTTCTGTGAGTTTTGAAAAACATATAGAATCATATAAATACCACCACAATCAGGAAGTAGGATAGTTCTATCATCCTCCAAAACAAGTCGAGTGCTACTCCGACTGCATTGGCTGTATTTTTACATATGACAAAATGAGGTCGGGAGGTTTCCATGTTGCCCAAGGTCATTCAGTGACAGATTCGGAATTAGAACGTTTGAATGTGTCTGCTAGTCCAGCTACCTGCAAAGGTAGATTCCTCAGTCTACAGAGCCTAAGAGGCAGCAGTGGCTTGGGGCACACATAGGACAGAGGGAGGAAGCCCCTTGCTCTAAGCTGGAGCCTCAGAAATCCCCACATCTCCCACTCCACGCAGGGCTACTTAACCAAACACCCACTCCATGGGCAGCTAAGGAACAAAGGTGGTCGTATTCTGCAAGGCCTAAATCCACAAGTAAAGTTGAGCAGCAGGGCAGCTGTGCCATCTAGGAGCTCAGAGTCCAGTCCAGACCACAGTGCCCAGTGCCCTGGCACGCCTCCACTGGCCACTCTGGTTAATGAGTTACTATCCTAGTTAATTTCCCTGCACATCGGGGCTAGACCCCATGAACCTTCCCGGGCTCCTCAGGCCAAGTGCATGAATTAGCATAGATTACCCAGCTTCTGGGGTTCCGAACTGCCCGACTCACTAGAAACCCACTTCTCCTTCAAGGGGCTGGAGAGCAGCTTGGGTCTAGTAGCACTTGGAGCAGAGGGACTAGCATGCCCCGCTGCCTTCAGGAAGGGGGACACCAGACCTCAGACCCCGCTTCCCCTTTACCCATGCCTACCTGTTGGCTAGCTAGAGCCCTTGGGGTAAACCTGGCCACAGAAGGACAGTTTATAAAAGGCAGGTGGCCTGCAGAGGATGCCAACTGACTAAAGTGGGGACTGTGTAGCACTCTACCCTCTACTACAGCCAAATGTCCCTGCCTGGGGCAGAAGGCTGAGGGGTCCGTCTCCAGTCCAACACTGTCCTGGTTAAGGGAATAATGACTGCACCTTAGCATCCAGGGCTGCAAGTTTTAAAAGAGGGAAGGCACCCATCACCCTTACACATCGCAAACCATCTGGGTCTCAAACCATCTATCTCCCAGACAAACTGGATTCCCCATGCCCTCAAGGTCAATGACTTTTATGCCCCCACCCAAGATCACTAAGGGTGGAGCTTTCAGTGGCTCCAGTTTGCAACCCCTGAGTCTCAGGCTGAATTTGGAGGGTCTGGCCTGAGGGCACTGCCAGAGCCTGGCCCTCCAGTCCTCCTTCTGAAGCTTGCATGAAAGGTGCCCTCTCCTGCTTGCCAGGATTCTGGATCCATAGTCTCCCTAAGCTGGGTGTTTGTTTCCAGCCTCAAAAACCCGAGGGCGGACCTCTAGCTCCACCCTGGGCTTGCTGACTGGGCACAGCCAAAAGACCTCCCCACTCTGCCATGCCTTCAGGCTCCCTGCTGGCCTAGGAGAGGAGAGGCCTCTAACCCCACAGCCTAATTGAGAGAGAGATTTCCAAACTGCAGACAATATTTTGGGGGACAGTGGTCCAGGCCCAAGGGAGGTGCATCTTTAAATGCACCCCCACCCCAAGGGCTGGATTCAAAGCCCAGAATCTTTGGGCCTGGAAAAAGAGGAGGAGGAGAAAGCAAAGTCACCTGGAACTGACAGAGGGACAATACTGGGCCAGGACCCCAGCCCAGAGCTTCGAAGCCTAAGGGAGAAGGAGGTGTCTCCCACTGTAAGGGCAAAGCTGAGGCGCACACCTGTCTAGTGTGAAGATGTGTATGTATGTTCCCTGGGAAGGTGTGGAGTGGGGGCAACAAAGATGATCTCTGCCAGTTCCCCATGAATCTCTCTGGTGCCCTGACGACCCCGGAAAACACTGCTCCCAACTCCTCTCTTGCCTGGTTTCCCAAAAGAGGTTTTTGGGCACCTGCCCCAACACAACATTTTATCTGGAATAAAGGAGTAATTGACACAAACATAAATATACAGTAGATGAAACCAAGGGAGGAAGCAGGTAGCTTGTCCTGAAACCTGTCCCCTCAACTATGCTTCTGGTGGCAGTGCAGCCTGGCTCACGGTGGACTTCACTCTTCTCCCCCCATTCCCATTGGCTTCTCCCAGGTCTCACGGCAACCTAGTCACCAAACACAGGCATTTCTGCATTCTTAGGAGAAATGACAGGGGCCTGAGAGTAATAGTTTTAAAGGACGCTAGACTTTTTTTTTTTTAATCATTAATTGTAAACGTGCAAAATACCTGCTGGTACTTCACTTTAGAAGAATGTAATGGTAAAAAGAAAAAAAGGAAAAAAGAGGCGGCTGATGAATAGATAATAGATCTTTAACCACCAATAAACAGAGAGCAGCGCCAGCAGCCTGGGGATGTGATCATAATTATGCCGCCGCGCGAGCCAATGGGGACGAGGGAATTCGGTCCTAAAATCATCCCAAAACCGAAGGCGAGCTCGAAAATGCGGACACGGCCTGGGACCGGAGAAACGATCCATAATCCCTAGTTGCACTGGGTTTGCACAGCAACCCCCCCTCCCCGGGACAACAGATGGCATAATAATAATAGAAATAATAATAATAAAATAATAGCATCCATAATAATAATAACATTGACCACAGTAACAAAAATACGTCGGAACCATAATAGTACGGTAGCACCACATCAGGCTCTCCCCTGACCTCGGACTACCGCTCCCAGATATTCCAGAAGGAATTGTTTTGGGGAAGGAGGTGAGCACCCTCCCAGACAGAAAACGCTGGAGACCGTGGGGCGAGAGCGGGAGCGAGTTGGAAGCCCACTGCTTCAGCGGGGTCGGCAGCTCCCGGTCTCAACTCGCAAACGAACGAGCCGGGTCTAGACTCGCGAACGCACCGACCCTGGGACCTCGAGGCTAAGCGTGGTTGGTGGGGTGGGAGGACCCCGCACCCCCCACTCCAGGATCCCTCCTGGCCTAGGAAATCGCTGGGAGTTTTGCTAAGGGTGGGGATTGGTATAACCGAACAGCGCCTTTAGCCCAGGAACCAGCCCCCGCCCGCTTACCCTCGCGGTGCTCCTGGGACGATCCCAGTTCCCCCGACGCAGGGCCGCGTAAGGCAGCCGCGCCGGAGCGCTAGGCGAAAGGAATCTGTTTGTCCGTCTGTCCTACCAGCTTGGGCTCAGCAGGCTCCGGATTCAGGGGGCCGCAGCGGAGGCGGCGCCGGCCAGGGACTCTGCAGGGACCGGGGTGCCCCGGAGGGAGTGGTGCTGGTGGAGGAGGAGGCGGTGGCTGAGGGGGAGTAGGTGGGGAAAGAGGAGGAGGAAGAAGAGGAGGAGGAGGAAGAAGAGGAGGAGGAGAAGAAGAAACCGGAGGAAGAGGAGGAGGCGAAGGAGGAGGAGAAGCCGCAGCGGGCGCCGCAGGAGCGAGTGAGCTGGGAGCGAGGGGCGAAGGCGCGGAGAAGTCGGGCGGCCCGGCGGGCTGCGGCAGGCTCGGCCGAGGCGGCGGCGCCGACTCCGTTCCACTCGGCCGGGATCCAGGCCTCCGGGTTCCCAGGCGCTCACCTCCCTCTGACGCACTTTAAAGAGTCTCCCCCCTTCCACCTCAGGGCGAGTAATAGCGACCAATCATCAAGCCATTTACCAGGCTTCGGAGGAAGCTGTTTATGTGATCCCCGCACTAATTAGGCTCATGAACTAACAAATCGTTTGCACAACTTGTGAAGAAGCGAACACTTCCATGGATTGTCCTTGGACTTAGGGCGCCCTGCCCGCCTTTTGCAGAGGAGAAAAAACTTTTTTTTTTTGCCTCCCCCGAGAACTTTCCCCCCTTCTCCCCCCTGCCTCTAACTCCGATCCCCCCACGCCATCTCGCCAAAAAAAAAAAAAAAAAAAAAAAAAAAAAAAAAAAAAAAGAAAGAAAAAAAAAAGGAAAAAAAATTACCCCAATCCACGCCTGCAAATTCTTCTGGAAGGATTTTCCCCCTTCTCTTCAGGTTGGGCGCGTTTGGTGCAAGATTCTCTGGATCCTCGGCTTTGCCTCTCCCTCTCCCTCCCCCCTCCTTTCCTTTTTCCTTTCCTTTCCTTTCTTTCTTCCCTTCCTCCCCCCACCCCCACCCCAAACAAACGAGTCCCCAATTCTAGTCCGTCCTCGCCGCGGGCAGCGGGCGGCGGAGGCAGCGTGCGGCGGTCGCCGGGAGCTGGGAGCCCAGGGCGCCCGCTCCTCGGCGCAGCATGTTCCAGCCGGCGCCCAAGCGCTGCTTCACCATCGAGTCGCTGGTGGCCAAGGACAGTCCCCTGCCCGCCTCGCGCTCCGAGGACCCCATCCGTCCCGCGGCACTCAGCTACGCTAACTCCAGCCCCATAAATCCGTTCCTCAACGGCTTCCACTCGGCCGCAGCCGCCGCCGCCGGTAGGGGCGTCTACTCCAACCCGGACTTGGTGTTCGCCGAGGCGGTCTCGCACCCGCCCAACCCCGCCGTGCCAGTGCACCCGGTGCCGCCGCCGCACGCCCTGGCCGCCCACCCCCTACCCTCTTCGCACTCGCCACACCCCCTCTTCGCCTCGCAGCAGCGGGATCCGTCCACCTTCTACCCCTGGCTCATCCACCGCTACCGATATCTGGGTCATCGCTTCCAAGGTACGTGCCACGTCGCGGAACTGCAGAGCGCCGTTCCCGCCGCATCCTTTACTGCCCCCGGCCTGCTCCGGGTGGGCGCTTGGCAAGGCCTGGGCGGAGGTTTCTCCGGCTTGCGGGCCAGCGCGCCCTGTTGGGAAACTAGGCGGCGCGGGGCCGGTGGTGGTGTGGATCCCCAGTCTCCTAAGCTACGACCGGTTTGAAGTGATAGCCTGCGGTCTGCTTGACCCTTTGGGAAGGGGTGCGAATGGAGAAGTTGTCCCCCAGTGCGCTTGTATCCGAGCAGGCTGTGCGTGCCCGGCGCCGCGGGGCCCAGAGCCTGCGGGGTCCCCAGGCTCCTGGTACCATCGGCAATGCCCCCAACCGTCCTGGCTCCGAGGGGCGCGGACAGGACTCGGCCGCCAGGCTTGCTTTCGACTGCGTTCGACCCTGTTCACCACTCACTTTGCGCCCCTTCAGTCCAGACCCACCACTTCTTGGTCTTCCACCCTCTTCTGGAGGCGAGAGGACCCTCGCGCCCCCGGCGAAAAGTATGGGATTTGTTTTTTCTTTCCTGCTTTTCGGAGGCCTGGGGAGGGGCGGGAACCCGTGCGGGAGGAGGAAAGCTCCAGGGCTCGGCGCTCTCGCCGCGACCTGCTTAATTGGGGCGCCGAGCAGCCACAGCGGGAAGGCAGGTTCGGTCTGGTTTTTGTTTTTCTTTCTTAAAAAAAAAAAAAAAGAACCTGGTCAGAAACTGTCTTAGAGGGAAATATCTGTTCGCGTGTTTTCATTTATTGAGATTTTTGACTTGTTTTTCTCGGTACGGGGTGGGAGGAGGAGAGTTAAAACTTCAGAAAAAGGGATAGTTTACCGATCGGAGTCGGTGAAAAATCTACCTCCGGCGGCAGCCGATCAATACTCCAATACTCCGCGGCTTGTCCATTCATTAACCCATTGCGTTCCTGCCGGAGCCTAGAGTCGGGTAGATGTCACCCCCCTCCCCATATTTAAAAAAATCAAACCAAAGGAAGAAAAAAAAGAAAAACCTTTTACCCTTATTCCCGAACTAGATTTGCCTGCATCCTGCCTGGGCTGTCGGTTTGTTTTTCTTTGTTTGGGTTTTCGGTGAATCGATTTCCTATCCTAATGAGTGAACCCAAAACTCTGAGGCTTTGCTCGAAAAGTTTAGGGTTGCCCTTCCTCATTCTCTATCAGTCATGCTCATGGTCCCCCCACCAGACCCGGAGCCGCTGGGATCTTCCTGCGTTTCAGACTGTCCCGGCGGTGTCTGCAACTCGGTAACCCCCCCCCCCCGGGTTTCGATCTCTTCGCTCGCGTTTCTCTTCTAGTTCTCCGGAGCCGGGAGCCCCGGAGCCCAGTTCTCGAGAGGCAGCAGCGGCTGTAGCTGGGCGCACCCGCAGGCGAGATTTCTGTCCCGATCGGGCTGCAACGACTCGCTCCGCCTCTGTACTTTTCCGGAGGGGCAACAAAACAAATAATTTAAAAATAAATCTCCAAGAAAACTCTGGAGAGCAGCCCGCCGCCTTTCCACCCTGGGTCAAAGTTCCCCGAGAGGTTAGAAAGGAGAGAAAGTCGTTTCTTCGGGCTGTGGGCGCCAATCCCCCGGCCAGGCTCTGCGGCTCCCTCCCCTGCCCACAGCGCCAGGCGAGGAGGTGGCGAGGCCCGCGGCGCCAGGGCGGCTGCGGAGCCGGCCGAGGTCAGGAGCCTGGGGGACTGGTCCCGCCGGGGCAGCGGCTGGTTGGGTGCCGCACAGGTGGACACCCAGCGTTGCGGGCCGGGCAGCTGAGCCGGCGTTCCCTTCGTGAGCCCTTGGGAGGACCACCGACCCCCGCAGGTCGAGCGGCGCCAGCTATGCGAAGGCCCTGAGCGCGGTGACTGGCCAGCCCGGCTCGGGAGAAGTGCGCGGCTCGGGTCAGAGCAGCCCCCCTAATGGGATTTCTGCTGTGCTCCCCGCAGGGAACGACACTAGCCCCGAGAGTTTCCTTTTGCACAACGCGCTGGCCCGAAAGCCCAAGCGGATCCGAACCGCCTTCTCCCCGTCCCAGCTTCTAAGGCTGGAACACGCCTTTGAGAAGAATCACTACGTGGTGGGCGCCGAAAGGAAGCAGTTGGCACATAGCCTCAGCCTCACGGAAACTCAGGTGAGTGCGGCCCGGGCGCGAGGGACCCATCTGGGCGTGCGCCCCCACCCCAAATCTGGCTCTCAAGCACACCCATGAGCACGGAGCTCTGTGAGGGCCTTCCGCACAGGTCCTGGTAGCTGGTTCCACGCCTGGGCTCGGGATGTATGTCTCAAGGTGCTTGGCTTTGTTGGGTTCCAGAAAGGGGCTGTAAGTGCCAACCTGCCCCAGGTTCTGGGGAAACGCGCCGAGTTGTTTCTCTGTCCAGTTGGACATGTCCTGGCTAAGACATCCCTGCATTTCTGGTGAGACTTTTGGTGAGAGTGTGAGGACCCTGCTGGGGTCCAGGAAGAGGGAGAGCACAGTGGGGTTTCTGGGTGTTTGGGGCTGGAGACTGGTAAGGACAGGATGTGGGTTAAAGATGAGTTCTGAGCGACTACCAGCCCATGGCTCACACCGTCGGCTCCAGTGACTTCGCTGAAGGAGATGGGCGATCAGAAGGTGGAGGGCAAGCGTCCTGTGTGTACTCTACATCAGAGAAATAAAGCTGGGAGGCTGCAGAGAGAGGGTCTGCCTCAGGGCACAGGCCTTCTGCACAGCAGGGTCCCTGGGCGGGCCTGGCTTGGGCTTATCCCAGGGTGGGGAGGGGGTTTAGGACTACAGTAGGCGCTACTGTACACGGAGCCGCAGGGTGGGGTCAAAGTTCCCAGCAAACAGTAACGTTTTTGGGCAGATTAAGTTGTAACACTTTTCCTGGGCAGCGCAGAGAGGTCGAGCCTTTTGTTTTAAAACATGTTCCCCACCCCAAAACCGAGGAGGGCCTGGCGGGTTTGTGCGGAGCCCGGCACAAGGCGCGGCCCGGCTGATTTCTCCTGGACAGCCGAGGCGGCGGTGGTCTTTGTCCGCCTCGCTGCCCACGCTGCCTGGAGTCTTTGTGTGCGTGTCAAGCCCCGAGCGCACCGACGCGCGCCTTGGGCCAGCGCCGGGGAGAAATGAACCGTCCTCCCCCTCAATTAGCAAACTCAAAGCAAATTAAATTCAGCCTTGTTCCCGCTCAGCTTTTTCACGGAGCACTTTGGGGGACTGAGGCTTTCCGGGAGAGCAAGACGGACCGACCAGCGGCCTCAAAGGAGGGAATGGAGTGGACCCCAGGGGTCCAGGGACTGGCACTGAGCTAGGGTACTGTTATCCAGATAGGATAGGAGTTGTGGGGAGATGGTATCAGAGGTGCAGTCTCTGCCATCTCCCTTACCTGTACCCCCCTGCTGGGAAGATTGGACCTTGTTACTGTCTGCTGGCTGAATGAGGTCCCACCACTCAGCTTTCCCAGGGGCCCATGGGATGGCAGCTGACTCCCACCTCATTGCTCCTAAGACCTCTCAGAGCCACTCTGGTTAGGCCCAGCCTCCAGCCCCACCCTGGTGGGAAGTGATGGGACTGGGGTCCGAGGCTGTGTGACCAACAGCCTGTTCCGGGGCTGCTTAGGAGGAGGGAAGAGGGAGCTTGCTGTCATCTCCCCTCCTCTTAGTTTCTCTCTTACTTTCCGTGTAACTGACGGTCTTTCAGAAGCTTTCAGTTTTGAACCCATTTTCCTAGCTATAAAGGTACAGCTGGGTTGGTCTGGAGGCCTGCACACTCCATGCCCCTCCTGGCCTCCTCCAGCCCTATCCCCTTCCTGCTCACCTGTGAGAATCCCCCGCAGGGAGGATGCAGCGCAGGCAAACCCTGATCGCCTACCCAGGGCCCCCGCCACGAAGAGAAGACGCTATATTTAGGAAACACTGCCCAGATCAGCAGAAAATAGAAAGCACATTGGGCCCTGAGGGAAGCTGCAGCAGCGGTGGACTGAGGTCTCCCTTGCACTGGCTTGCTGGAGGGAGTTAGGGACATGTCTCTTTTTATTTTTAATCACTTACTATTTTTGTAGGGGCTTCCCATGCTTTGCAAGGCTTTGCTCTCTGCGGGATATAGATGCCATGTGCAGGGCCAGGAGAGAGGGGACTCAGTGCACTGCGGGCCGCAGGGCCCTGGGGAAAGGCTCTTCAGGAAGGCTCAGAAGGGCAGGGAGCTGGGCTTCTTTTCCACCAGGCACTAAGGGCCCTGCTCCCTGAGGGCAGGCCTTGGGGAGGCTGGACCTTAGGACTTGCATCTGGGGGACTGGGTCTTTGCTGAGTCTGGAACTGGAGTCTGGGCTGGGTGAAAGGATCAGGCACTTGATAGAAGGGTGCTCTGAAAGAACTAACGCACCCCATCGGCCTCTCACCCGCAGGTAAAAGTATGGTTTCAGAACCGAAGAACAAAGTTCAAAAGGCAGAAGCTGGAGGAAGAAGGCTCAGATTCGCAACAAAAGAAAAAAGGGACGCATCATATTAACCGGTGGAGAATCGCCACCAAGCAGGCGAGTCCGGAGGAAATAGACGTGACCTCAGATGATTAAAAACACAAACCTAACCCCACAGAAACGGACAACATGGAGCAAAAGAGAGACAGGGAGAGGTGGAGAAGGAAAAAAACCCTACAAAACAAAAACAGACCGCATACACGTTCACTGAGAAAGGGAGAGGGAATCGGAGGGAGCAGCAGCATGCCGCGAAGACTTTGGACAGCGAGGGCACAGGGTCCCAACCCGAGGCCGTGCCAAGATGGCAGAGGATGGAGGCTCCTTCATCAACAAGCGACCCTCGTCTAAAGAGGCAGCTGAGTGAGTGAGAGAGACAGAGAGAAGGAGAAAGAGGGAGGGAGGGAGAGAAAGAGAGGGTGAGAGAGAGAGCAAGAGCTGAACGTGCACTCTGACAAGGGGAGCTGTCAGTCAAACACCAAACCGGGAAGACAAGATGATTGGCAGGTATTCCGTTTATCACAGTCCACTTAAAAAATGATAATGATGATGATAAAAAGCACGACCCAACCAGGCACAGGACTTTTTTTTTTTTTTTTTTTTTTTGCACTTCGCTGTGTTCCCCCCATCTTTAAAAATAATTAGTAATAACAAATGAAAATTCCATGTCTAGCCCCATCCCACATCTGTTTCAAAACCTTGAAATGCATGTAGCAGTTGTTGGGCGAATGGTGTTTAAAGACCGAAATGAATTGTAATTTTCTTTTCGTTTTAAAGACAGGTTCTGTGTGCTTTTTATTTTGATTTTTTTTCCCAAGAAATGTGCAGTCTGTAAACAATTTTTGATACCTTCTGATGTCAAAGTGATTGTGCAAGCTAAATGAAGTAGGCTCAGCGATAGTGTCCTCTTACAGAGAAACGGGGAGCAGGATGACGGGGGGCTGGGGGTGGTGGGGGAGGGTGCCCACAAAAAGAGTCAGGACTTGTACTGGGAAAAAAAAACCCTAAATTAATTATATTTCTTGGACATTCCCTTTCCTAACATCCTGAGGCTTAAAACCCTGATGCAAACTTCTCCTTTTAGTGGTTGGAGAAATTGGCCGAGTTCAACCATTCACTGCAATGGCTATTCCAAACTTTAAATCTATCTATTGCAAAAACTGAAGGACTGTAGTTAGCGGGGATGATGTTAAGTGTGGCCAAGCACACGGCGGCAAGTTTTCAAGCACTGAGTTTCTATTCTAAGATCATAGACTTACTAAAGAGAGTGACAAATGCTTCCTTAATGTCTTCTATACCAGAATGTAAATATTTTTGTGTTTTGTGTTAATTTGTTAGAATTCTAACACACTATATACTTCCAAGAAGTATGTCAATGTCAATATTTTGTCAATAAAGATTTATCAATATGCCCTCAGAGTAGTCGTCTTGGGAAATTGAAGTGGATGTTTAAAAATGTATCTCAGTAATTTGAGTGTGGTCCTTCCCCAACTAGGCTCAAGAAACCCAGGCTCCTCACCCACAAAAGGGCCAGTTTGGTGGATTCTCAGGCATTTTAAAGAAAGATGAGGGTGGAGAAGGGAGAAGATTAGGAAAACTTAAGTCCTTCAGAAAAGGGATGGGAGAAAAGTTTTCCAACCAGACCTTTGCCCATTGTATGCCCTACTGAGGGAGTTTAGTTTGAACTTTGGGTTAAAATGCTTACTTCTCTTAACTTCTAGTTATTAAAAAAATACTGGACATGTAGTTGCACATTGAAGACTACTCTCCCAGAATATTGGGGAAAACATGTAGCAGAATCAGAATCTTGCAACTTCTAAACTTTCTGACTTTAAACCCCGAAGTACAAGTCTTACTTTTCCTTCCTTTCTTTCCTTCTCTCCCTGGCTCCAATCTGCCAAAGGTGATGGGCCGAGCCCAAGGGCCTCAGCAGCCTTATAAGGCAAGCGTTCCGAGAAACCTTCAACTCTTAATTTTAACATTAAAGAAAAAGTTGTAATCAGACTTGGAGGAAACTTAGCTTTTTTTCCCTCCCTCCTTCCCCCTTCTGGGGGTACGAGGTTGTTTTTGCATGCTTCATTTGCTTCTTATCCTGATAGGCTGCATTAATCAGTTTTATTTCCATTGATAGAGAAACCTCGTCTGTTCTGTTCGAGCTACAAAGCGTCCTGCGAGCTTTTGTGAAAGTGCAAATCAGTTTAAGCAATTATCATACCAGGAATATGAAGGGGAAAGAGGAGGCCTTGCCCAGTGGTCTCCTTTAATCTCTTAATCCATGGATCCAGGGGGGCTGCCTGGACATAATTTAGGACAATCTCCCCACCCTTTACACTGTGATAAGGCCAAGTTACAATGCAGGGCAAAAATACAAGCTTTGTTAACATCCTGCCTTGAAAAGTTAAGATTAGACATTCCGTGCACGTGTGGGGACTATAGGGCACTATGGAAATTTTTTCTTTCTTTTTTTCCTCCTCTTCTCTAAAGTAGAATTCCTTCTCCGTCTCTTTCTCCTTTCCCCCATCTCTGCCTGTCTAGCCCTCCCCTCTTTTCCGCCATCTCTGTCCCTCTGTAGAAACCTGTTTGCTCGTAGTGCGTTTTCACACAGACCCCTCTTGGAAGGTGTGTGTGCTGTGAGGGCTACTCCACCGCCGGGAGTTGCTGGCGGGAGGAGGGAGACGGGGTGGCCTCAGGAGACCCGGGCTTGCGTCTCACAGGGACAGGTGCGCCTCGGGGTATCCAGGAAACCCTCGTGGGGCTTCCAGGCGCTTTGACAGCACGACCCTCGGTGACCATTAGCTGTCTCAAGCGCTTTGCAGTCAGCGCTCCCGCAAAGCATCCCTTTCTCTTCAACAAGTACAAATTACCTTTTCCTTCCACTCACCTTCCGAAACCCGGAATACCTCAAACACTGAGCGCATTCTTAAACATTCTTAAAATTCAGAATGGTCTGTCCAGAAAAAAATTTTCCGTCTTAATAAAAGGTTTATTTCTGCCAAAATTATATACTTTATATTTTTTAAGTACAAGAAAAGGGGGCTGGTGAGGAAGATTTTTCTTTTTTTTGGGTAAACGTCCTATGTAGTGTAACAGCAATAAAATCATCAGAGAATACTATTAGCTTTGAAAAAAAAAAAACTAAAAGCTTTATTACAAACCAAGCTTTGAAAATAGGGGGGATTAGGCGGCTGAAAGGGTCCCACAATGGTAAGAAGAAAAGGTTTCATGCTAATGAGGTTAATGCCCTTTGTATCTCAGGCCTCCACATCTTCATTACGCGCTATCTCCGGCTGCACGGAGCGGCTCAGAGAGCCGCAATCCACTCCAACGCCCCCCTTCCCGGCCCAAAGAAGGATTTGATAGCAGCTCTGTTCAAACTAGATAATTATATCTTTTCAAGTCGGAATTAAGATAAAGAAAGTGAAGCAGAGGCGGCTCGCCTTGATCCACTGCAAACAAATTTGGCGCACTTTCGAGTCCTTCCTCCGCCTCAAAAAGGCAGGACAGTCAGCTTATTAGCCGCTCGTTTGCTTTATTAATTCATCTATTTAAAGTGGCAGGATTAGAGCGTCTAATGTGGACGCAGGCTGCCGTGGCGCTGAGGAATATAAATATTTGCGAGATGCCATCCCACGATGACTATCTGGGCGTGGGGCGCGGGGCAGGGTGCGCGTGTGCCCTGCCTCTGCGTTCCCTTCGCAGTGTGCGCCTGCTGGGCTGAGCAGTGGGGTGTGGGAGCCATGTGCCCCAGGTCTATGTGCCCCTTCGTGCTCCCTGGGTGCCAGGCCTGGATGCTTCCGGGCAGGGCTCAATGGGCAGCGTGGGTCAGATTCTGCGCTCCTCCTGGGACACGGTGAACTGTATACATGTTGCCATAGGGTCCTGTCTGTGACCCCGAATGGGGGTATAGGACACAAGTTTGATCCATGTTCCCTTTCTTTGTTAATTATTTGTGGACCTTCCCTGTAGGACCCCTTGGCCAAGTGCATGTTCGGGAGAGGCACGTATTCTCCGTTTGCGCTGCCCTGAGAGGGTCAAACCGAATCTATTACGCGCGTGTGCCGCGGCTACGTTCTCCTGCGAGGTACACATGGGTTCCGCGTGCGTTTCTCGCGGAGGCGCCAGAAAGTCCTAGGGTGGGAGAAGCCTTCGACCTCCGAACTTCCTGGCTTTCTTTCTGTGTGTCCAGTGCTCCAAGCTCCTTCTGGCTCTGGTCCTGGCAGGCAAGCCGAGCAGGAGCTGGCGCATTGGCTGCGGCCCGTAACCTGCCGGGCCACTTTTGTGCGAGGGGCGGATTGTGGCTGCCTGAGAGCCGCGCCAGGCGGGACAGGCAGAAAAGGGACTCGGGCCTGCGCGCGGATTTGGAAACCTCGGCTCCTCCCCGTCCCCGCCTCGAGTCGCAGGAAACAAAGTCTGGGACTCGCGGGCCGGTTGGGGAGGGACTCTGGCTGCTCAGAGGCCTGGCCCGGGGCCCCGCTTCGTGGTGGGGGTTTTAAGGGCTGGTCCAAGTCGGTGTAAGGCTGGCAGGGTGAGGGGTCTGTTCTTGTATGTTTGTATAGGGTGAGAGCACTAGTTTGTGGTATAATGGCATTTGTGTGGATTGTGGAATAGAATTGTGTGTCTCAGCTAGGACTTTAGTCAATTTGTGTCAGTGCTAATTGTTTGAGTAAGTTAAAGGCTGGAGCGGCCGGGGCTACTTATGTAGATTTGGTCAAGATGTCTAGTTGACCTTGTGCGTCTAGATTGTTTTGAGTTAGGGCCAGCACGTGCAGTTGTGAGGCTGCAGAGTGCCTATGACGGTATGGAAATGCAGTTTATTGAATTTGTGTGCCACGATCTAGTTGCACTGTGTATCTGTGAATTCGTCTGGAGTTGTGCATCTCAGAGAATGGGGTGACTTCGGTGTGTGTGTGGCTTGCGGGGACGTTTCTCGGTGTTTGGATGGGGGTCCCTGTGATGGATGTCCATGCCTGGCCCTAGGGCAGCATCTGCGTGTCTTGGGATCGAGGCGTGTGTGTCTAGTGAGGAGGCTTGGGCT